TATGGTCTGAATGTTTGTGTCCCACCAAAATTCATACATTGAATCTTAACTACCAGGCGATGGTATTAACATGTGGGGCCTTTGAGAGGTGATTAGATCATGAGGGCTCTGCCCTCACGAATGGGATTAGTGTCCTTATAACAGAGGCTTGTTTGCCTCTTCCATCATATGAGGATGCAGCAAGAAATCACCACCTATGATGAATGGGCCCTCACCAGACGCCAAATCTGCTAGCACCTTTATCTTGTACTTTCCAATCTCCAGAACTGTGAACAATAAATTCTGTTGTTTAGAAATTACCCAGTCTATCTCAGGGATGCAAGGGTGGTTCAATATGCACAGATCTATAAACGTGATAGGCCACATTAACAGAATGAAGGACAAAACCATATGATCATTTCAATAGATGTAGAAAAAGCATTTGACAAAATTCAACATCCTTTTATCACAAAAACTCTCAACAAATTAGGCATATTCAGAAGGAATGTACCTCAACACAATTAAGGCCACATATGACAAATACACACCTAACATCATACTCAATGTTGAAAAATTGAGAGCTTTCCCTCTAAGACAAGGAGCAGGACAAGGATGCCCACTCTTGCCACTTCTCAGCATGGTAAAGAAGGTCCTAGCCAGAGCAATTAGGCAAAGGAAAGAAATAAAAGGCATCCAAATTAGAAAGGAAAAAGTTAAATCCAAATGTGTGAGAATGAGCTTGACTAAAAGACCATTAGTCCTGTCGTTCTATTACACTTTTCTAAGTGAAAATCCTCTAGGTTTTATATAATCATGTTTTTTTTAAAAGAGTAATAATTACTTTATCTTTGAATCTTGTGTTTAAAAGCATTATCATTTTCTCTTAATTTATGTATATTTATTAACACAGATTATGATGGAATGGAGTGAAAATAGAACAATAAAGAGTTTTCTTGTTTTCAGCCCTCTGTTACTTTTACCTCTGTTCCTCCCCATTTCCATTCACTGCCTCCCTATATACACATTAAGCAATAATAATAATAATAATAATAATAATAATAATAAAATGCTTTGATATTATTGGTGTCTACCTACAAATATAATTTTGTGTAACTGTCATAAACTTACTTTATTTATTTACTTTTATAAGCTTATTTTTTAGAAAAGAAGCAGACAGCCCAATGGTCAAGGTTTGGGAACCACATCCAGCTGAGCTGGAATTCTAGCTCAGCTAATTTTCAGCTATATGTCTTTGACAAATTCCCTATTCTTTCTAAATGTCGATTTCTTAGTCTTTAAAATAGGGATGCTGACTGTGATGGTTAGTTATATGTGCTAAGTTGACTGGGCCATGAGGGGCCCAGATATTTGCTCAAATATTATTCTGGATGTGTCTGTGAGGATGTTTCTGGATGAGATTAACTTTGAATTAGTAGATGAGTAAAGCAGATTGCCCTCCCTAATGTGGTGGACCTCATCCAATCAACTGGAGAACCGAATAGAACAAAAAGGCTCAGTAAAAAGAGAACTCCTCCTGCCTGGCTACTACAGCTGGGACATCATTCTTTTCCTGCTTTCAAACTTGAACTGAAAAATTGGCTCTCCTTGGGGCTCAAGCCTGCCAGCTTTTGGAGTGGAACTTACACTGTCGATTCTTCTGGATCTCAGGCTTTGGACTTGGGCTAGAATTTACACCATCAGCTCTCCTAGTTCTCAGGCCTTCAGACTTGGGCTGGAACTACACCACAGGCTCTCCTAGGGCTCCAGCTTGCCAACTGCAGACCTTGAGACTTCTCAGCCCCCATAATCACATGAGACAATTCTAATAATAAATCCATCCATCTATCTGTCTGTCTGTCTGTCTATCTATCTGCCCTATTAGTTCTNCTTTTTTCGTGACCGGCAACGGATCGCAACCCTCAGTGTCGCGCCCGTACCGGACCGGAACGGCAGCGGGATCGCAACCCTCCGTGTTGCGCCCACACCTGGCTCAGCCAGTGAGCGGCCGGTCTGTATGTGGGATCCGAACCCTCGGTGGCAGCGCCGCTGCGCTCCCAAGCGGCGCACTGTAGCAGTGCACCACAGGGCCGGCCCCATTTTAGAAGCTTAGATATCTAAGTTATTACGAGATTGAAACTGTGGGGAAATATTGCAGAAGCAATGTGAGACTGGCTGGAACCTGAGAGCTTGAGCTCCAGGAGAAAGGCATTTGGTGCCCACGAGCATTTCCTACCATCTCCTCAGAAATGGTTTCTGTTTTGTGAGACCAGGTGTGCAAGGTAGTATGTGGCTATAACTTTCTAATATAAGTCTCAAAATATGGAGGAGTGGCTCACTAATATTTGCCAAGTGTGTTGTCTGTTATTGAGGAGATTCCTTTGCATACACACACATGCACACACGTGCACATCTACCCAACCTTACCGAAAGATTTCTACAAAAAAAATCAGTGTTCAAAACTGTGAGGTACTGACATAAAGACAGACATAGAGAGCAATGGAATAAAATAGAGAGCCCAGGAATAAACCCTCACACTCATATATATGGTCAAGTGATTTTTTTACAGGGGTGCCAAGACCATTCAATGGGGAAAGGACAGTCTTTTCAACAAATGGTGATGTGAACACTAGATGTTCACATGCAGAGGAATGAAGCTGGACCCTGCTATGGTCTGAATGTTTGTGTCCCACCAAAATTCATACATTGAATCTTAACTACCAGGCGATGGTATTAACATGTGGGGCCTTTGAGAGGTGATTAGATCATGAGGGCTCTGCCCTCACGAATGGGATTAGTGTCCTTATAACAGAGGCTTGTTTGCCTCTTCCATCATATGAGGATGCAGCAAGAAATCACCACCTATGATGAATGGGCCCTCACCAGACGCCAAATCTGCTAGCACCTTTATCTTGTACTTTCCAATCTCCAGAACTGTGAACAATAAATTCTGTTGTTTAGAAATTACCCAGTCCTGTCAATTAAAATTTAATTGTAGATAGTGCCAAAGGTAGAAATAGATCTAAACCGTTTCCAAAGTAACAATTTAGTATTCTTTTAAACTCAATTTTTACCTATGAATATATTCAAGGATGGTATACACTCTTTGGAAAGGGAGGTTAGAGTTTAGGGTTCTGGCTGTGGTTTCTCTACTCCTTCTGTGATCTTGAGCAGTTCCATAACTCTCTGAGCTTATTCATTATAGAAGTATTAGAGAATTTCTATGGAATAATCAGGCATTTAAAAACACTAAATTTGCTGAAGTGTCCAAGAGACTAAAGAAATTATGATCTACCTACGCACTAAATTGCTATGTAGCCATTAAAAAGAATGAAGCTGTTCTAAATATACTAATATGAAACAATTCCCAAGATATTCTGAGTGAAGAAAACATGGTTATAGAGCCATGTATATTGTATGCTATCTTTTGTGTGTGTGTGTGCATGCCAGTATGTGTGTGTGTGTGCTTTTAAGGAATACGGTATAGGCATATTTATGCTTGTAAATTCACAGACCGTCTTTGGAAGGGTACACAACTAACTGGCAGTAGTGATTGCCTTCAGAGAAGAGAACTAAATGGCTGGAGGCAGAGATGGGGGGAGTTGTCAATTAAAATTTAATTGTAGATAGTGCCAAAGGCAGAAATAGATCTAAACCGTTTCCAAAGTAACAATTTAGTATTCTTTTAAACTCAATTTTTACGTATGAATATATTCAAGGATGGTATACACTCTTTGGAAAGGAAGGTTAGAGTTTAGGGTTCTGGCTGTGGTTTCTCTACTCCTTCTGTGATCTTGAGCAGTTCCATAACTCTCTGAGCTTATTCATTACAGAAGTCTTAGAGAATTTCTATGGAATAATCAGGCATTTAAAAACACTAAATTTGCTGAAGTGTCCAAGAGACTAAAGAAATTATGATCTACCTACGCACTAAATTGCTATGTAGCCATTAAAAAGAATGAAGCTGTTCTAAATATACTAATATGAAACAATTCCCAAGATATTCTGAGTGAAGAAAACATGGTTATAGAGCCATGTATATTGTATGCTATCTTTTGTGTGTGTGTGTGCATGCCAGTATGTGTGTGTGTGTGCTTTTAAGGAATACGGTATAGGCATATTTATGCTTGTAAATTCACAGACCGTCTTTGGAAGGGTACACAACTAACTGGCAGTAGTGATTGCCTTCAGAGAAGAGAACTAAATGGCTGGAGGCAGAGATGGGGGGAGATTCATTATCTTTTAAATTTTGTTCCATGTACATATATTACAAATTCAAAAAATATATAATTTTTTTTAAGAACCTAGAATTAAGTCTTATCCATGAAAGCTGAAGAGATAAAAAATTTAGAGAGAATTCAATTTGAAACCTGGATGCAGCAGAAGTTTGGGGTTCCTCTGTTACCCATACTTATTCACATGTTCATTTTTCTTTTTTCTGAAGCATCTGAAAAATGCTACTGGGCCGGCCCGTGGCTCACTCGGGAGAGTGCGGTGCTGATAACACCAAGGCCACGGGTTCGGATCCCATATAGGGATGGCCGGTTTGCTCACTGGCTGAGCGTGGTGCTGACAACACCAAGTCAAGGGTTAAGATCCCCTTACCAGTCATCTTTAAAAGAAAAAAAAAATGCTACCAGGTAGGGTTTTTATCATGCCATACATCGGCCTACCTCCAAGTTTCTCTGCTTGGAATAGATTCATTAGAGTCTATTAAATACTTCAACTGTGTAACTAGGTAGGGTTTTTATCATGCCATACATCGGCCCACCTCCAAGTTTCTCTGCTTGGAATAGATTCATTAGAGTCTATTAAATACTTCAACTGTGTAAGTCAAGAAAAGTGGAAGGACTTTCAATAGGATTTATCTTTCAGGCATTTAGAGGTAGTTATGGCCGATAGTTTTATAATGTCTGTAGTACAGCATTTTGCAGTTTCTAGAATGCCCTCACATACATTATCAGTTGATCCTTTGCACAGAAGCCCCATGTGATTCTTGCTATTCTCGGCTTTGTCCATGAACTAAAATTAGAACTAGGCTGACATTACATTTCACTTGGTTACAGCTTGACTGAGGATTTTAATCATTTGGAACCACACTGCAAAAACTCCCCCTGCATTCAACTCTTAGCTGATAATCACTAACTTTGGGCATGTCAGCTTCGGCATCCAGCAACAATGGTAAGTATTTTTCAAAAACGTTTTTTCCTTGTTCTTCACATATGAATAGATTACTGACGATGCCTTTACTATGTCTGTATTTGCTGGAATGCACTTTTTTGGGTTCATAGTCACTCATGTCCTCCTCTGGAAGACGGATTTCCCTATAGGTAAGAATCATTTCTTCTGAGATTGTATTTCTTTTGCTTTCGTTTTACTTTGGGAAGCCAACTCTCCCAATCATGACATTGCTGTGCTTACCTCACTGCCTTGCTATGTCCTTTTCTACTACGGTAATAATCAAGGTAAAGACCACAGTCCTCCGCTGGAGGCAGAGACTCTCGTGCTGACCTCATTATTGACTTGTTTTTCTCTAAGGCGAATGGTCATCATAGGAAAACTGATGGATGGCCAAAGTTTAATGGCAAATGAGGAAATGAATTAGCACATGAATGGTTACATATGGGGGTACTTCAAAAAGTTCATGGAAAGATTTGTATTATCTTTTAATTCTGTTTTTCCACAAACTTTTTGAAGTACCCTTATAAGTCTAGTAAAATACACATACATGTGGATATTTAGGATTTTAAAAATATTTTTTATTTGATATTGATTATTTAAAGTATTTGGCAAATACTTCAAACTTGCTACAATCTGAGACAATAAATTGTAGGTTGACTGTGCTAACAAGCCCAGTAGTTGGATTACCAGCACATGTACCCCACGGTTTCTTGATGGCAAAAGATCTCTCATTCTGTTCCTAAGTGCACTCTGCATGTATTAGAAATGCAGACCCTCTCCTAACAATTTTCTGCATATTGCCAGTTATATGTCAGTCTTGAAGTTTTAAACTTTTTTCTTCTGTGATACAGTTCTTCTCCCTTTCTCTGTTCCACACACACACACACACACACACACACACACACTGCATAGCTTTAGTTTAAAAAATTAGTGATTTAGAAGAGCAATATTTTAATGAAAAGCAATTTTCTCTATCCCATTCCTCTCTATTACCAATCCTGCTACCTAGAAGTAACCATTTGAACTACTTTGGGATTTACTTTTCAGTGGTGATCTCCATTTTTTCTTTCTTTTTCAAAGGCAGTTACATGCTATTTCTTATCAACTTCAGACATTATCTATGGATGGAGCTTCATTGTGAGAGATGATGATGAAGTTCCCTTATACGCCTCACAGAGTTATATTCCTGTTTTTAGTTTCTCTCTTGATTTCCTTTATAACTTTAAACAAATACTGAAATCTCTACTTGTGGTTCTATCATGTACAGACAGTATCTACTAGATCCCCCACTCTGAAGGTGTGGATATTGTTTTTCCACCCTCTACTTCTCCTCCCCTATTCCCTCTGCCACATTCTGCTAAAAATATTCTTATTTTTATATTTTCAAGATGTATGACATTTATTTTCTGTTCTGTAACCATAAATAAGTTTTCTTTGCTTTTTTATAGGTTGATTTATTTAAAAAGTTGAAGACGAACACATAGCCTTTATTAGTGACCTGACTGTAATTACTGTTTTCTGCAAAGCCAGCATTTCCTTCTCGGTATCAATGTCACACTCATTGTGCCAAAGAAGAATGTTAAAATAGACTCTCCTTTCCTATACTTCAATAATTGCTAAAAATCATGTCACATTTTGTCGGCTTTATATGGACTGTGGCTTTCTTGTATAGAGTTTTCCTCAAAACAGTTTTTTTTTTTTTTTTAAAAAGATGACCGGTAAGGGGATCTTAACCCTTGACTTGGTGTTGTCAGCACCACGCTCAGCCAGTGAGCAAACCGGCCATCCCTATATGGGATCTGAACCCTTGGCCTTGGTGTTATCAGCACCGCACTCTCCCGAGTGAGCCACAGGGCCGGCCCCTCAAAACAGTTTTTGACTGCCTTACTTTTTGCTTATCAGGAGAAGAGATTTCATCTCTTTCACCATATTTCCAATGTCACACCGCTTTCCCTCCCATCCCCCTTAATTCTAGCTATTTGTGTAATTCATTGGGTGGATATTTTTTTGTTTTTAAAAACGTATTTTACTTTTAATTTTTTAACTACTTCGAAAACCATTGCTGGGAACATTCTTGTTCATGTCTTCTGGTGGACACATACCCTTCCTGTTTGTGACGTCTGTATGTTTGAGTGGAATTGCTGGGTTATAAGCTGTGCATATCTTCAATATTAGTAGGTTGATAAGAATTCTATTCTTCAGTAGCTGCACTAATTTACAACTCTACCAATACACCAGCAGTGCGTGAGCATTTCTGTTACTCAAGTTCTCACCAGCACGTGGTATAGTCAGTCTCTTTAATTTCAGCCATTCTGATAGCTGTGCATTGGTATCTTATGGTTTTAATTCACATATGTTTTGTGGGATGGCTGGTTGGCTCACTTGGGGGAGCATGGGGCTGATAACACCAAGGTCAAGAGTTTGGATGTCTGTACCAGAGACTCACCAAAAGAAAAAAAAGAGGCCGGCCCGGTGGTGCACTGTTACAGTGCGCCGCTTGGGAGTGGGGCGGCGCTCCCGCCGAGGGTTTGGATCCCACATACAGACCGGCCGCTCACTGGCTGAGCGAGGTGCGGGCGCAACACCGAGGGTTGCGATCCCGTTGCCGGTCCCGGTCTGGTACAGGCGCGACACTGAGGGTTGAGATCCGTTGCCGGTCACGAAAAAAGACAAAAAAAGGAAAAAAAAAAAAAGAAGAAAAGAAAAAAAAGAAAGAAAATTACTTGTTCAATTGTTGTCTTTTTTTAGTTGGTTTTTAAAAGTCTTTAAAAATTTCTTTGATCTACCCACCTGTGCATGGATTTTTTTTTAGTTGATTTTTAGAAATTCTTTATATATTCTAGATACAGCCCACTGGTGGTTACATGTGTTGCTAATATCTTCCCCCACTACATGGTATTCTTTTTATTCTCTTAATAATGGCTTTCGATAAAGATCTTAATTTTTTTTTTTTTTTTAAAGATGACCGGTAAGGGGATCTCAGCCCTTGACTTGGTGTTGTCAGCACCACGCTCAGCCAGTGAGCGAACCGGCCATCCCTATATGGGATCGGAACCCAGGGCCTTGGTGTTATCAGCACTGTACTCTCTCGAGTGAGCCACAGGCCGGCTCTCCTAAAGATCTTAATTTTAAAGTAGTTCAATTTATCAGTCTCTTCCTTTATGGATATATTTGTGTTGTTTTAAAAAATGTTCCCTACTTTAAGGACATGAAGATAAGTCTTATATTGTCTCCCCAAATCTTTATTTTTTTCTACTTTCAATTTCACTTGTAGGACTATAGTCCACCTGGAATTAATTTTGGTTACATATGGATATTCAACTGTCCCAGTATAACTTCTTTTTTAAAAAAATCATTCCCACATTTTCGGCAGTGCCCATTTATGTATGAGTCTGTCTCTGGAGTTCCTCATTCAGCTACATTAATCTGTTTGTCTACTGCACCAGTATAACACTAATTACTACGGTAGCTTTTAAGAGATCCTGATAGACGTAGAATAAATCCTCCCACTCTAGGTGTTCTTTGGCAAGTGCAACTTGACTATTTTGTATCCTTAGAATTGTCATTCAATATTAGAATCTGATTGTCAAGTTGCCCACCTCCCTTTCCAAATGGGATTTTTACTGAGATTGATTGGGGATCAATTAATATGGGGATAATTGACATTTTTACTGTATTGGGTCTTCTAATCAATGAATATAATGTATATCACTTCAGTTATTTAGGTCTTCTTTAATTTCACTGTTTTTCTTTTTCTGTGTAGAGGTCTTACCTATCCTGTTTATTCTTAAGAACTTAATTTTTTATGTTATTGAAAATGGTATCTTTTAAAGAATTTAATATTCATTTTCTGCTGGAATATAGATTCAGAATTGATTTTTTAAAATATTAACTTTCCACCAATCTTGCTTAACATTCTTAATTATTCTGTGTTTTGCTAAAGATTCTCTTGATTTTGCACCCATGAAAAAGTCCTTTTGTTTTTTCCTTTGCATACTTTATGCCTTTTATTTCTTTTTCTTGCTTTAATATAGTGGGTTCAACTGTTATACGATGTTGCATCGAAGTACTGAGAGCAGACATCTTTGCCTTTCTAATTTCAAACGAAAGGATTTCAATGTTACCCTATTATGTATGATTGATGCAGGTTTTTAGTAGATACAGTTTATTGTGTTAAAGAAATTACTTTCCATTTATAGTTTCCTTAGAGTTGTTTTTAATCATGATATATGTTATGTTGTTTTGTTTTTTTTGGCAGCTGGCCAGTACAGGGATCTGAACCATGACCTTGATATTATAAGTCTGCACTCTAACCAACTGAGCTAACCAGCTTCCCTATTAAGTTTTACCTAATGATTTTCTACATCTATTGGCATGATCATGTTTTTTCTACTCTGATGTTTTAATTTAGAATATCAATCAATTCCTCAGCAAACCTGAGTCTCTGGAATAAACCCAATGTGGCTATGATGTATTTTTCTTTTTATATACTGCCAGATTTGGTTTTCTAATATATGATTTAAGATTTTTTTCTAATAACATATTTATTAGTGAGAGTAGTCTGTTATTTTTCTTTCTAGAACTACTATTCTTAGTTTGGCATCAAGGTTATGTTAACCTCATAATCTGAATCGGGGAGTATTCCCTTATTTTCTATTCTCTGGAAGCATTTATACTAAGATTAGTGTTAATTTCTTTCCCTTGAATGTTTGGTAGAATTTGCCATTGGTTATGTTAACCTCATAATCTGAATCGGGGAGTATTCCCTTATTTTCTATTCTCTTGTAGCATTTATACTAAGATTAGTGTTAATTTCTTTCCCTTGAATGTTTGGTAGAATTTGCCATTGAAGTTATCAGTAGGTCTAGTGTTTTCTTTGTGGAGAGATTTTAGATTATTATTATATTTTATTGTATCATTTTTTATTTTATAGATGTATGCTCTTATCTTTATTTTGTTCCCTTTGCTTTCGTTGGGTTTGTTTTGCTTTCTTTGTCTAACTTCTTGAAATGTTTGTAAAATGTTTAGCCTCAGGTTATAAATTTCTCTCTAGGTACTACATAACCCGTATTCCATACATTTTGATTTGTGGTATCGTTATAATTCAGATCAAAATGTTTTCCTATTTTCACTATGATACCTTCTTTGACCATAGGTTATTTAGAAGTGTATTTACTAATTGAAGTAATATGGGTTTTTCTCCAGCTGTGTTTTCATTATTGATTTTTAGCAAGTTTACATTTTGATGAGGAAAAACAGAAACAAAAAAAACCCACTTTGTGCTACTTTAGTCCTTTGAAATTGGTTGAGACTTGCTCTATGGCCCAGCATATGATTTTATTTTAGTGATTGTCCCACATATTCTTGAAAACAATATGTATTCTGTGGGATGTAGTATTCTATACATATCATTCAGGCCAAGTTTATTCATTGTGTAGTTCAAATATTCAGTATTCTCCCTAAGTTTTAAACTGCTTGTTCAATCAATTGCTAAGAAAATGGTTAAAATCTACCACTTTGTTTCCAGATTTCTTGATTTTTCCCCACTAAATTTGCCTCATATATTTTGAAGCCA